ATACGAAACCTTTTTCGTACGAAACTAAAAAATGGTTCAGAATTCGTTTCAAATCTCGAAACCATTTTTTAGTTTCGTATGATACCTTTTTTTTTCCCAGTGTACGCTAGTGTTGAAGAAAGTATAACAGGAATGTGTATCAGCATCACCGATGTAAGCTGTTGCTGAAGTGATTCTCGTTGATCAACTGCTTGCAGTCGGCTCATATTTTTGTACATCATTACAACTGTTATGGCGAGAATCGAATTAGGTAAGAAATCGTAATAAATGGGTAGTGCAAAATACATATAATTAGTGTTAGCTTGATTTCTAACTGGTACGCAAGATGTTAGGCCCGTTATTGTATTACGAAACAAGGAATGAAATTAGCCAATCAAAATACAATTGTTAGAATCACTGTCCATATTGCTAATGATAATCAAGTGAATTTTCTGTATTTTTTTTGGCGACAACTTGAGAAAAACCGATCCATACTTGCTAGGCAAATGTATGTTAATGAGATAAAAAAATGTGGTAGATGTTAAAGCAACACGAGATTTACACCAAATACGATTTGTCGTTGACCAGTCAGAATCAAAACTATCACTTAATATCCTTGTAAATAAACCATAAAATAAAGCAATACAATTTATTAATGAAGAGAACAAGAATAGAAATGCACATGAATTACGACGATTTGGCCAAAGAAGAAGGATATGAAGTAAATTTCCCAAAGTACCACCAATAAAGATAGGAAAACCAAGATAAATGTTTGTCAATTTTGCCAAACGGTTCGCTAAAGGCATTTTTTCTGTCTTCTTTTCTAAATCTAAGAAGTAGATATTAGCTTTATAGCATGTTATGTCTTAACCAATGGCAGTCATGTCTGAATCATTATCATAATAAATTCAATTGTATTTTACTCTCCGACAATGAAAAATTAATTATTCGTAAAACAAGGGAGCAACAGATAAGTTGAAGTTTCTTTCATCTAGCAAGTAGTGCCTTATTGATTATTGTTCTTCTAACGAAAAGAAATCATTGGGGAACAATATAAAATGTTAAACTGTTGATCCCATCACCAGCAGCAATGATATATTTACCAGACAAAAAATGTTTCTCATTTATTTGTATACAATGACGATAGTTTCTACTACTTCAAATGTCATATATTCAAACAAAATAAGTTATCTTCTCATGGCGTGCAAAAATACGAAGTATTTGATTTTGAACGAAGTTTTATCTTCATACATTTGTTTATCTATAAAAATTCGAACCTTATGAGCTACGGGTTTCGAAGATACAAAAAAATTGGTTGAATTGGAAGATTTTTCGTTTTGGGAATTCAGTGCTACTAGAAATTTATAGGTCATATTGATCACTTTATGTGAAGTAAGATTTTGTTATCATTCTTTTTTATGATGTCTCTATTTTCAATTGAACCTCTAGCACCGCACAATTTTGAAGTAGTAATTTGAAGATCGCTCGAGCATATCGCAACTACTCTTAAAAAGGCGATCGTCGATTTTCCGATCTACAGGGAAACCAAAGATTTATTGTCTATGACACTTCAGGTACTGATTTTTAAGCTTTTCGAATGTTTCTGAGATGGGTGTGGGTGTCACTAGAATTCTAGTGGCACCCACACCCTCACAGCAGATGCGTGCAGTTGTCGAAGTAATCAAACAAAACGTAAAAGATGAAATGAAAATTGCGCCCATATTTCAAGGTGAATCAGCGTAACAAATAGGCAGAAATATGCATTGGAAAAATTATATGAAGCATGTATTTACTACCTATAAATTCAAAACAAGGAAAGCAGTACTTTACGAACGTATGATGAAGACGGTGTGGGTGTTATTCAGTTAAAAATACACCCACACCCCAAATTAGCATCGCCACGAATGTGCATATGATTGAACACCTACCACTATTATCATAAAATGATCTCATCATTCACATTTCCGAAAAATCATCACATCATGCGATTATAGATAGCGAAGTTAACAGCATCTGAATCTCATACAGCTACTAATGAGAAACAAGCAATCTCAGGCCACCTTTTACGAAGACGAACGGAGTAATACTCACTATACTGAGATCATTCCTTTCTACGGAAACCGACTTTTAAATATTTTTCACATGTGAATATAAACGAACCCGTCAATGGCGTCTCTTCCTTACAATTCACCTTTAAATCAGGCCACATCCTGCAATGGAATATAAAATGAAAAACATATATGTAATTGCAGAATCCATGGAACACTTATGAGAAATAAATCTGCTTGTGAGACCTTTTCGCAGACAGGAAACCCATCACCATTTCTACGACCTAAAAGAACACTCATGAACTATATCTCCTATTCTTTTCAATCCTCTGCACCAACTTTAAACTGCACATTTAGATTAAATAACTTATTTGTGATTCTACTTTGAATCATTGAACAGTTATAAAGACAGAGCCACCTGAAGAGACCCTTCAGCAAGGTCGAAACGTGTCATGGTTGCTACCAAACCCACACCCATACATAAGATTAGATAAATGACGAAGATATAGAAGGGTTTTTTAAGATTGAGAAGATAACACTGAAATGTCAAGTAATTATTGAGTGACAGTGTCGATTTGTGTTAGCTCTCGTTTTTGGGATTATGTAGCAATGGTAGAACTAATATTTAGTCTGCCAAAAATAGAGAGCTAAACATGTTTCATTCGTTTCTTTTTCGGAACTTATATTATCGAAACTATCTAGACATCTTTCCATTACATTGTCAGTCAATGTAGTTGGAATTAAAAATTCCTCATTTGATATATTCTCTGTNTTTTCGATATGAAAATGTCAAAATTATCTTTAGTATCCATTTTAATAAATTGTTACGTGTTATTGTAGTGTAGTGTGGTTTAACAGATATAATTTTAATAATTGTAATAAGCTAATGCAAATTAATTTTGCAGAAAAGATCAGAAGAAACGAATAACGGATTAGAAGAAATAATAATAATAATATATGAAAATAATAGGGCAGACAAATTGTCCAACTTCTCCACCAATTGTTAGGCTCTAATATGTATAGAACGAAAGAGACAAGCAGTGTCACTGATGTTATGTGACAGAGCGACGCAAAATATGACCTTCATGGGAATCGAACCCATATCTTCTGCTATCCGGGCAGATGTATTACCGTTATACTAGAAAGCGCATCTAAGTCATCGTTTAGCGTCCAAGTGATTCATAATGGACGCTAACAATTTGTCCGCTCAAAAACGAAAAGTAACAGATCCTGGACCAGATGTGTTGACATCGAATGTTCCCGTTACATTCGGACTGAATGTCGTCGCAACTAAAACATACCTATTCCAAGATTTCAGAAACACTGTAAGCTTAAATTGCCCATTGCCAAAGTCATCATCATTTTTTGCGAGCAAATTCCGGTCCGGAAAAGCCGGATCGAAATTGTCGGTATAGATTGAGCCATATGTGTCGGCATCACTAGTGCTCGTGATGCCATAATAGCCAGTCATGGCAACACGGACTTCGATAGCTGCATAGTAGTACTGCGGTACTTCTCCGTTAGGACGGCGATGCATTTAACTGTTTTCAGTCAATGCGGAGTAGTACGTCGATTGGATGCTTGATGAAGTACCTATTAGATAAGAAAAAAACATATATCAGAATTTACAACTCTAGTAAGGTGCAGGCATATTTTGAATTTGATCTAAATATATTTCTGAGGAAAACCGCTCTTTATCGTGGTCGTAAAGTCTAGGATAGATTCATTGTATTGAGCATCGCTTGCCGAGATATTCTCACGACTTCACACGATTTCTGCATGACGCTCATGCCTGTATTTATGCACAGCATCAAAAAATGTGCGAAACATGAACTTACTCGTTTCTGTTGTCGTTGATGTTTGAGGAGTGGTTCTGCGAGTAAAATAAACATATCCTAGGCCCACTGCAAGAATTGAGTATGCTCCCGTCGAATACCTAGAGTGTGTCGTCGCAACCAAAATGTAAGTAATCCGAAGCTGAAGCAACATTGTGATTTTAAATTGTCCATTGCCATCGGCACCATCATCTTGTGCGAGTAAATTTTGATACAGATAAGACGGATCGAAAGTATTCGTATAGATAGACCCATATGTATCGACACTACTATTGCTCGTGATACTACAATTATCAGACCTTGTTGTTTTCACTTCAATGACTTCATAATAGTAGTAACAACTAGTACGACAATACCTTGGGCTAACCATAGTCCAGGCTGATGAGTATGTTGATCGTACCTGCGATGGAATCCATATTTGATGAAAACAAAAATACAATCAGGCTCATGTAATCGAAACTGCATTATCCTCTTTTAACAGACGTCAATGTTGATCACAATGGAATGTCAGAAATATTGCACTTCTCTAGTTAAGTCAATATGTGTAAAAGCTGACGTATGCACAATTTTATCGCCTATCTCTGAGCTAATTAAGTGGCTGTAGGCTTCATAAATATTGATATAAAAATATGATTATTCTTACCAGTGGCGTAGTCAGAAATTTTTGAGTCATGGGCTGTTTCCCAGCTAAATGATTTTGTGGGGTGGGCACTAATGGGCAATTTAAAACCAATTGGGCTCCAATTGGTTTTCGATATGTATTGGCATCGTGAGACCGATGCATACTGAAGGAAAACTCGTCACTATTAATTAGATCATAATAAGAGACATTATTTTACAATAACACCAATGTATCTTGGAATATATATGTGCATCAGGATTTTTCGGTATTGGGCAATTAGTAGCAGCTCAAAAAATCATGGGGCAACAACTTCTGAGTTATTGGGCAATTGCCCAATGGCCATCCCCCTGGCTACGCCACTGATTCTTACGTATATTACATACGAAGACTACTAAATAGAATATCTCTATTTTGTGTAGTCTTGAATGATGAGTTTAGGCTATCGAGAGCCACGACACACTGACAATGACTTACTTTTTGAGTGAAAGAAAGACCGACTGAGTACTAGGCCTACAACGAGCCCGGATATCAATATGGCAGCCACCAATAAAGGCACGATTGTGATGCAGCATCGGGATCGATTCCGGCAGTATTTGGGTGGCACCAAGGGATTTTCGCCAACTGTTATCAGTGCAACATCGTCGTCAGGTAGTTCTTGTAGACTTGAAAAAACTACTGGTTTCTCAAAGGATCATTCGTTGCAGTTTGCATCGTAGCTACTGTCTATCTATATTGTGGTTAGTAAAAACATGAATATCACAGACTTTTATGAGAAAAAGAGGAAGAGAAGAGTGTGATGCAAAAATGAATAACAGATCGTTCAAAAATGGTTCATGCAAAATGGCTAGTAGCGCGTTGGCTGCCAACAATGGGCACTGATAGTAATTTCAATATAACTTATCACCGAAGTGGAAGCAATTTTCTAGATTTGGATGTTTACAATCGAAAGGTTTATATGGATGGACGAAACAGAAATCGAATACATTTACCTAGAGTCTTACGAAGCCCACCATATATTAATGTGGTTACGTTCAAAAAAGGATTTTAGTGTACAACAACTAGACTAGTTTTCAAATGGAGAAATTTGAATAGTTAGATATTTGAATACATCGGTACGCAGGTGAAATATAACTCAGTAAAATGAATAGTGACTTTTATTCTAATAAATCACAGGTATATAATGCCATTGAAAATAGGAATTGAGAAAAGCAATGACACCATTTACGCATACATCTAGTGTACATTTGTTTTCTGTGGTAGCAAATAGAAAAAATATGAAAGAATTTTCGGCTCGATTATCGACAAATCGTATACGTGAAGTAACAATTGTTGTTGTGTCTGTCTCTGTCCTGATAAGCACAAGAGAGACAGTTGAGAAAAATGCACATTCATGTCTGTGTACTAACAAATAATTATATTATGTGAGGAAGAATGCGATAAGCTAAACGATAGTCACATTCGTTTTCAGCATTGTTCCACTATCCTGACAGTCATAAATGAAGAGAGAAACATGCTTAAACATATTTTCACAGTCAAAGCCAGTGTTTTATGCAGTTATTATATGTTGATTGAAGTAATCTGTTAAAGTCAACGGTGAAATACTGCTGTATTTGTCCAAATAACACGCTCAGCCGTTTGTTTGCCGTTTTCTTGGAAATTTGTCTGAAAACAACTTATTCAAAACATCGCTGACTCTATAATAACACTCTTCTAACGTCACAAGCTGGGTTGATGTTGTCAGGCTCCTTTGTTCAAAGCCACTGAACACGTTCTACAACATCGTTTAGGCTAACTAGCGTTGTTGGCGGTATGTTGGTTATTAAAGAAAAAACTTAATTTTGTACTTTTGTTATTTTGTATAATTGTCACAGATCATGAAAAATAAAATTGTAAAGAACGATTTAACATAGTTTTTAGTCCGTAATTGAACAGTTCATAGAACAAAATCATAGTTGTAGATAATAAATGCACATTGGATCATTTTTAGGTTCCATATTATTAAACTACTACTTTATTTTCTTAACCTCTTTAGTGCATCATGAGGTCGTTTTTATCGATAGTTGAACAAATAATGTTAGCAGCATAAATTAAAACACATTTGTTAAGGTACACACTAAATATTACACGATCAAATAGAGATTTTTCATAATAAAATCCAATCTGATTACTGATATACTTCATGCAAAAGATTATCTTGAGGTGAACGACTAATCATTTGATATTTTCTGAAGTATTTTAAATATTTGAGTTCAATAACGTAAATGTTTTCATTAACTGTTTTTTTTTCGAACTTCCTACCTAACATCTGCTCGTCATAATCGAGCTTAAAACAGATTCACTATTGTACTCGATATTAAAATTTAACTAAAAATCCAGTGCCCCTGTTGTCAAAGAAAATTGATAGGAGTAATAGCTGTAAAAAGATTAATAAAATAATTCTATCAAAAACAAACTGCATATTCACATGTCCCATCATATAAAAAACTACTTGTCTTATCTATTGACCAATATATTTTATCATATATAGAAATATATACGTCGACAACAAATCGAATGTGGTGTGCTTTGATAATATGGCGAATGCGATAAATACTTCGCTACGAGACTCAATTCTCACACATAGATTTGTCTGCCTGAATGTCACTTAGCTATAATTAGAAGAGTCTTTCGTCGATACGCTGCATAAAATGCCGTATCGAAGATAAACAAAAATGAGGAACATGATGGCAAGTTATACCACTCTCATGAAAAAGGCATTTGAGTATTATAGAAAGATAAGAAATTATTTGTTAAAGAATGACTTCGTTTTATACTTTTCTTATCATGTATAAGCAAAGAAATCAGAAAAGTGCATGTGCTCTTGAGAGTATGAGTCACAGTCGAAACTGGTACGGATGATTTTTTACCAATAGCCGTACGTGTATAAACTGTCAAACCTGACCGAATCGGTCTGTATACCGACATAAGTCATTCTTTTCACTCTGGCCATTCCGTAAGAGTGAAATCAAACTCTCGATTGCTCAAGCCCATCTCTGAATGACTACAGAAATTATGCAAGACTTCTATTTCACTATAGCACTTTTGTGAAACATGTTTGTCAGTGAGTATTGAAGTATATATGACATGAAGATTGATCTAATCTCTCTCTACGTGTCGAGAAAAACCACAATAAGCATGCCGACGTTCTTTTTGTCTAATTTGAGGTTTTTCAAGGAAGGAAAGGCGAAAATTCTATGCTTTACGAGGGGCTACCCGGATTCATTTTCTCGGAATTGATTTTTCTACAAGACATTTTTTTTACTAAGGACTTATTCATTCACACGATATTTCACCACACCCACACCCGCAATGTGTTCTTAGTTTTCAAATAAAAATCGAAAATTCTTGAAGTACACAGTGCTCTTATTATCTTTTGAATTAATGAGTGCTGAGATTTATATTTGATTGATTTCTTAATCAATTATTAAAAATTAAGTTTGATTTTGAAAAGATGAACGAGAAAATTTTGATTTAAATCTTCATGAGATTTCTTCCTCAACTAAAACTCGATCATTTTAATGATCAATGAAATTTCATGTCAAAACGATCAATTTTAAACAGTACGAATAAAATTTTGTTGAATATATTGATCTTAAAAGTTATTCAACATT